CTGTAATCATGCTATTTCTCAAAACAAAAAAAAAGAGTCACTCCATGTTCCTATGTAAAATTGAAAAGAAACGTTTCAATTTATGCTCAACTTTCATATTGATATTGCCCAGGCACTTAGCCAAGACAAAGCCAATCCTTTTCTCGAATGGTATATACTGTGATTTTTGCTTACTTATATCGGAAATGCCAGTGAAAAAACTTGAAAGAAAAGACTTTTTCACAAGTTACAACGATTACTTCAAGGAATGAAGCTCGGAGAGCATTTACAAGAATGGCATCTCACCAAATATCTTGGCAGCCTCCATATCGTCATTACTTTGTCTCTTTTCGTCTTCTCATTGCACGTATCACAGTGAATCAAAGCATCTAAAGTTTCTGGACAGCTAAACTTCTCGAGACAGTGCTCCAGAGAAGACGGAGCAAAATGCCGTGACCACGTCTCAGCGACTGATTCGTCATCTTCACAAGCCTACAATTAAAAACAACATTTAGAACTGAAATGAGCAGCTCAGAGTGACAAAGTAGTGGCAACAAGTTTGGATGACCTTACCAGTTCTTGCGAATGATTGTACTTAAGATACAAAGCAATGGGAAGCCAGTCAACAGCTATTCCACAGTTTTCAGGTATACTGGCCTAGAATACAAAGCAACGATTTGCGCAAAGTATGATCACATACAAATATGAAAAATGGATAGCTCTTCAGTGGCCAGTTAAACTAACCGGTGTCGAATCTGGCCTAATAGCACAGCCTCTACAGAAACGCAGAGCGGGACACTGACCACACCACCCCCAGGATTCATCCACCAAACACAACGAGAAGGGATAGCCGAATGATATGTCTTCTGACCTGAAGAAAGAATCTATGCTGCTTCACTGGTCTCAAGGAAACATTAACAGCCAGGCGAATTTACAGTTCTCATGATACTTACTTTCCGATCGTACTGACCTACTTCAAAAACCGATTTATCACATTTATAACATGGTTTCGAGCCGTGCTAATGGTAAAATATGGCACGATCCAGTCAATTTAGTCTAATTCGGCAAGAAAAAGTCTTCGGTACTCCAACCAATCAAGTAAAAAGTAGTAAAGAAACTTACGGATCATGAGCTCGACTCGATATAGCTGGCGATGACACGTCCATGAATCTGCGCATCTGCAAATGAACTTTTCGTAAGAAAATTGAAGCGCAACGAGAATATCTTATAATTAGTAAAACTTGTGACTGATGGTTCTTATCTAATCTGATAAGCGCACTATGTATAAACCGTTGAAACCTAAATAAATCGAGAAGTTTCCTCAGTCAAGTGAAGTCAACTCATTTGAGTAACACCAATTCACCAATAAAGATGCAAATAAAGGATAAAGTCTTTTGGTGTTACTTAATCCCGTCATTACGCCGCTACGATCCCGAATCGAAGTCGAATGCGCCTCTGCATTCGACTTCGATTCGGAATCGTAGTGGTGTAATGAATGCGTATTTGGCCTTGCAGTGGCTTGCCGTGGCCAGCCGATGTACGAGTCAGTGGTTTTATCCTCCCACACGAATCTGATACCAATGAGCCGACTTGCCACTACATCACCTGCAACTTCAGAGAGATGCAAATAATGGAATACATTTGTTAGGCCCAGACTCGTCAGCTCAATCAGCTTCCACAGATGCTTCTGAGGACAAGGTGTGCTACACAGTAACGCATGAGCAGCTTCGAGGCCTAAGTGATAAGGCGCAAGAATCCCTTCACAATTCCATTTATAAGAGCAAATACAAAAGTTTAAAGGAACAAACACTAACTTGGCTCATCACATCTTCGTATAATTCCTTTCCAGTTATATTCGGTGGGCAAGGGACGATTAGCGGTAAGCCAAACTGCGTGACAACGAAACCACTTGCGGCACCAAGGAAGTACGGTTCATGATTGTATTGCTGAAAGGTTAGATTAACATACAATGTACAGAGTTCAACCACTATCAGTTGAGGAGGATGGTTCAATTAAGTTTTGCTTCTGATCTTTGCAAGGTCGTCAACAAGATAAAAAGCAAAAATGATAAGTATAATACATAGTATCAACGTAGTTGACCAAATATAGATGCTCAACAGCTCACCAATTTTCGATGTATCGCAACACGCCATTCGGGAGTATCCTCCGGCAAGTGTAACGCGTAGAGGCGACCTCCTGACGGCACGGAACTCAACGGCGCGTCATCTTCGGTATTTATAGGATTCTGAAACAAAATGAACTTTGCGTAAGTACTGGATTTCTTTCGTTGGTAGTCCTCACCATAGAGTATCCTCTCTTATTGAGACACTGTATCGTGAGCGCATTCCGATTCACTCCAGTAGCCTCTGCTACTAGACCTTTGAACGTGCTTACTGTGCAATCTCTTGGTAACCGGAATCCG